AAAGATTTTTTTAAATATTGATTTTTTTCGAAATGGCAGCTATTTTTATGAAAAGTTTGTATTTTTGTCAATGCAAGTCTTTTGTAAAATAGCTGCCATTTTGAGAAAAATCAATATTTTGAAAAATTCCTACGTACGTCTCCAGTTTTTAATATGTAGGTAATGTGTTTTGTTTAAGATTAAACCGTGTGCCTGGAATCCTGTACACCGATAGAGTAAAAAGAGATTCCGTAAGTGTAGGCCATTGCGCCGCCATTTTGAACATAAGAAAAATATAAAAAAATTTGTTTAGCTTCTTATATGTACAATAATGTCCTTTAAGAAGATTTTAAATAAAGTTATCCATTTACCCATAAAAAATTTCAAACTTAAGGTATTATTTTAAAATAAAAAAAATAAAAAAATATATTTTTTATTTCTTATATATGTATAGCAATGTCTTCTAAACAGCTTTTAAATAAAGTTATCCATTTACTCACAAAAAAATCTCAAATTTAGGTATCATTTTAAGACCTCAGGGGTGGTGAGACCTTTTAAGTTCAATTTTTTAAACAATTTTAAATGAGTTTATTTTTAACTTAAAACTAATTACTATTAAACAGAAACGTTAACTTATTAACTTTTCAAAAAGTTTTTTATCTATGTAAAAGAAAAAAATACATTTTTATGACAAAAGCAGTATTTTTTGTTATATATGTTTCATAAATTTAATTTACAAATAAGATATTAAATTTATTTGATAATCAGTAATGTTCTGTTCCATAATTGTTTTGTTATTTACAGTTAGTTAATTTTAAAAAATTGTGATATAAATAATTTAATATAAAAAACGGTTTAAAATTTTTTTAAAATTTAAATTACTGTTGTCTTAATACAACTTACAACGAAATTAGTTTTTTTGCAATTTTTAGGGTAACTAAATTAATTTTAACTTTTAACTTTAAAATATATTTTAATTTATCTAATCCTGGTAAATTTACATTACTGTAGTTTAATAAAAATTATAAGTACATTAGCACAATTGCAGACAAGCAATTGTGCAATTAATTTATATTGATTCATCAATTGCATTATACACTAATGCAGCTTAACATCAAAATTGCATTTGCGTATAATTCGATTCATTAATCGAGGAATTAAAAAACTCTTCTTTCATCTATTTTTTAACTGTGCACAATCACAAAACAAAATGTAAAACAGATAAAATAAAATATATATGTACCTCATTATTGTCAATTTTTTTAATGATTTCAGATTTCGATGTGTTTTCGTTTTCTAATATAGCATTATGCATCTCTGCATCGCATTGCTTTAATTCATTTACTTCTTTAGAACCTGTTGATTCATTCACGATTTCATTACCATTATTCTTCGTGATTACATTTATAACAGGAACAAAGTCATCATACTGTATTTTATTGTTTTCTTCATTGTTTGAAATGTATTTTCCCTTTTTATTAATTTCGCTTGAATTAAAGTGTTGCCTCTGGAGAACTTGTATATTTTTGTCCAATTCTATCATACACTCGTTAACGTTTTGTATTTTTACTATTACTTTATCCGTCATTTTATTCAATTTTTGTATCTCTGAAACAGTAAGTTTGTAATTTGTAAATAACACACAAATAAATAGTTCTAAATTTTGTTCACGCGATTAAATGTTTAATAACAAGTGATTTAAGAGCACACG